AACGTCAGAAAGAAACTCTTCTACAACATGGCCACACAGCCTGAAAAAACCCCCACAAAAAACCTATGTTCAAAATATTGTTTTGAAAATGGATGAGGCTGAACAGACTTCAGTTGCTGATAGAAACTAATTTTGCCCCAGAAGGGCTAACTATTCTAATGAAGTTTGGGGTAATTGTCATCCATCATTTCAGGCTGGAATCATCCTGGGCCCTGCCTTGCCTTTAATAAGCTCTCCAATCCCTACAACAGTTTTCAACCAATTACATTTTCAATTCAAAATCTCTTTTAGGATGGCACTGGCAAGCTTGTGAGCATTAGGATAGCCAGATTGCTTAGCTTGTTGAAGCTAGTTGCTTCAAGCAATGCCATACTAGGACTGAGAACACAATAGCTAGTGGAGTCATTTGCTGGGTGGAATTGCCAAGCATTGCTATAATACAGAATTTGGAAAAGTCACTGGTACCTGTTGTCCAAAAGTGAACTTTTCCAGGCTGTGCTGTAGATTGATTGATTAGGAGAATAATTCCAAATGTTATTTATAAGAACTAACAGATTGCAGTGGAGATAGAGAATGCCAGAGGCACTGTTGTTAATTGACAAACAGCCCAAACACAGCTGCAAGTCACTAATTTCAGGAACTACAAACCTTCTGAGAAATATGTATTTGTATAGTACTGATGGTGATCCTCCCCCACTGCTACTTCCTCATGTAAGTTCTTCTTTCTCAACACCTGAAGGTTCTCCCTAACCTCAACAGCTAATATTGGGAATGAGAAGGCAGAGATATCATAAACTAGCTTATGAAGCTTTCTAGTGCTAACCAATATAGCATGGAAGAAATGTCATGAATGTTTGGTGAGTTTGGGCTATTAACTATGTATACATTATCTGAATGTGTTAAAAGTTTGGTGTTTTAAAACTGTGATTTTTCGTTGCATACATGAGACATCCAAAGGGCATCCACTAATGGATATAAAAATGTATCCTGCACAAGTAACACCAGACAGAGACATTGATTGAGTGTGCTAATCACACTGAGAATTCTAAATAATTTTTGTGCATTCTTTATTTGTGGATTAAATCTGTAATGAATCATGCATGTCAAGTTGTTTAACTTAAAAGTTAACTAGAAAAAACATTATACAAATAACTTATATTGAGAGAAATTTTTATGAGTTTCAGGTTATTTACTCATGTTTGGCAATTATATCACCCAGACTTCTAGTTAACACAAATAAACTGTGCTATATAGAAAAGAGCATGTGTTAAAAAGAATATCTGGAACAACAAATGCATTGCATTTTGATTTTCTGTTGAAGGAAATCAACAAGCAGGGCCTGGTATCCTGAAATCTATGCATCTAGTTATAAGAGGAATACCACAATCATCCTTTCTGCTCCTCTGAAATTTCTACAGGTCTGAGGGTTTAGTTTTATCCAATCTATGATGTCCTACTCTGTAAGAATTCCTCTCAGGAAGGAAAAAGGCACTTACCTTTACCCTTTGGCTTCACCACTTTCTTGAGGCTGTCAAGCACATAAACAGGTCAAGCATATAACATACTCCATTATTAATTATTACATGTATATCTAGTCTTTCCTGAAAATAGCTGAAAGCGATATACCTGCATCCCCCAGTTTTGTCTTCATAACTAGTGTTTGGGGTAGGTTAGGTTGACATGTACAATGACTTGAAACTGGGTCCCTCTAGTCCTAATCCAGCTTTTTTGGCTACACCATGCTGGCACTCCAAAGTAGTGGTGTGCTGAATGTGTTTATGAAATCTCCAATCTTTATAAAACTCTTTCAGAATCCCAAGGAGGCATTTTGCTTATGTTTGTACCTCCAAAGTTGCTGAATTTTTGCTTCAGATGAAACATAGCAGCTTTTTGGGACCCCCCCCCCTCCCATCATACAGCCATTTCCACCCATCACAGGGGTCATTAGTCTCAAATGAAATGCTTCTGCAGTTCCTCAGATTCCCCCCCCCCTAAAGTCACAATGGAATTTTCTCTCAGGTAAAAATTGATGGTAGTTCAAGTTTTTAAAGTGATAAGCTGTGAAGTAGAGATTCTCAGCTTGGATGCTTTTAATGTTCAGATCTCATCAAGCAGCAGTTTGCTGTAAAAAGCAGTGGATCTGTCCACATGGCATGATTTCCTTTGGGCTAGTAACTTTGTATCTGAAGCCTTCTGGGGTTTGACGTTATGTTGCACACACTGATGCATGCCTAATTGAGTACAGGATGCTTTAAGAAGTCATCACTACAAATCTCAAGGCATGCGAAAGCTGGTAGAAAAGGGGGCATTCCTTCAGGTATGGGTCCCATTCCATTTTGGGCTTTATATATAAACACCAACATTTGAATTACTCCCAGAAACAAAGATACAATGAATACAGCTCCATTATTAGTAGTATAATATTGCATTATCTCCTTGCACTTTGTAACATTCTACGTGAAGCTTCTGGGCCATCTTTAAAAGCAGTCATATGTGCAACATACTATAATCAGAAGGTTAGCAAAACATCAACCACTCTGGCCACATTAACCCTATCCAGAAATGGATGTAGCTGATGAGTAAAATAAGCTAAAACCCTAACCCTAACCCTAAAATAAGATAAAATGAGTAAAAGGCATTCCAGGTCACTGAAATGACCTGCCTTCTAGTGACAAAATTGACTCCATGACAGAGGTATAGTTACAGAGAGGGCAAACTGAGGATATTGACCCACAAATAAGAATATTGACCCCAATGAAAATTTCCCCCAATCCTTAGATTTCTAGCATTGAAGAGAGTAAGACATTGAAAACTGTTCACACTTAGAATTCTTATATTTTCTTTGCTCATATTCCCTTGGTAAATTTGCCTATCCACTTTTCTTTGGCTTTCCAACCTGTATTTCTAAATGTTCAACTGAGTTTTTTAAAGTTTCTGCAATGCTAGAAACTTGGGAACTGAAGGAAAATGCCATGGGGGGGGGGGGGGGGGGGGGGGGAGAGGAGAATTTTTATTTCAGGGCTGATGACCTCTTCTTTTTCCCCAATCAAGGAATAACTCCAAACTACAAATCACTTTTTTTTTGAAGGGGAGTACAACCCTATATAGAATGATTCCTAGAATAATAATAAATATAATTATAATAATAATAATAAATCACCTGCTTACTGTACGTCCCATCTTGTTGGCCCTCATCCATCCAACTGCTGTGTCCAGAATTCAGCACTTCCATTGTCTCTTTTGATTCAGATGTCAGCAAGAAATAAAGCAGTAACCCTAGCACTGTGATCAGCTGCGGTGAATAACATATGGCAACCACCACCACCACCAGAATATTTGGAGGGGGGGGAATGTGAGGAAGATACAGGTGGTTGTTATGTGTCTTCAAGTTGTTTCTAACTTATGGCAATCCTAAGGCAAGCCTATACTTTTCTTGGTAAGATTTGTTAGAAGGGGTTTGCCTTTGCCCTCCTCTGACACCGAGGGAGTATGACTTGCTCTAGGCTTTCCAGCAGTCTTCCATGGCTGAGCAGGGAATTGAACCCTGGTCTCCAGAGTCATTGTCCAATGCTGAAACCACTAGACCACATTGGCTGTCTGATTTTGTTGCTTCTTCTGGTTGGTGACAGGTCTGGTTTAGATGTTTGGGATTTTTCATGGTGCCTGAATATACAGAATAATATACAGATAATAATGAATGCAGCTATTAATGTATGAGAAAGCTGTCCTGAGTGGCAGAAGAAGAGGAACAAGTGACTAGCGCCTCTTCTCTTCAAATTTCCTTTCTGTAACAAGTAGTCCCCTAAAGATACATGGGTGGTCTTGTCTTCAGGAACAGTTCATACATCTCCTCATAGGGGACATGGATGAGTTTTTCTTTGCTGCTTAAATGTGTAGAAATGTGGGGGGAAAAGCATGAGCTGACCTTCATCTTTCGCTGTGTGAAAGAGCCTTGAGATTCAGTCAGAGTGCTCTCACAGTAGCAATGAATTGCATTAAATGGAGAAATCTTCCTTGAAATAAAAGCACGTCCTCTGCCATGATTGATGCACTGACATGCTAAAGAAGTTTCCAAATGCAGTGGCAAAGGGCAGGATTGCTACAGCACATGCTGAGCTAAATGCTCTGCGATTTATTGCAGTGATTAATCAGGAGCTGGCTTGGAGGCCAACTTGGAAGCACAGTGCAGTCCCTCCTGAAATTCTACTCTTTTCACCCCATGTTGCTGTGCTGCTATTGCTGCTTGAAGTACAGAAAGGACTTGCATAAACATTTTAATATTGCATGAGGCTTGTCTGAGCTTGAATGATCATGCATATGTCAAAACCTTGGCATGAAAGCAGCTCCCCAAAGAGAAGCCCATACTCTTGGACCTTCACCACTATATAAGATCCTGGCTTTTGAATTTCTGCGTTAATCTAGCAGACAAGAAAAGCTTCCAACTTCTCTTCCTCCTAATGTATTTTAGCAATGAGATACCTCTAAAGTAGGTGCCCTAGAAATGAAGCCTCACCACTTAGATCCAAGCTAAAGATGGCATTAATTGTGTGGATGCAATTAAACAGCAGGTTTTTTGTTTGTTTTTGTTGTTTTTGTTTTTGTTTTTTGTTATGTCAATAGCAGCCTGGGGAAGAATAGAGCAGCCAGGTTAATTTTTTCTCTCCCTGGTATGCTCCTAATAGATCTCTCCCCTCTGAAGCTGTTATTTGAATTTTAAGGGGTGCTCCCATTGGAATGCAATAAATGCTCCCTTTGAAATGCACGTAGCTGATTAAGAGAGGACTGTGAGAAGGAGAGAAATAATTAACTTCCCCTTCCCTAACTAACATGTTCCTAATGCTGCTTAGGCTTCCCCAAGGCTGCTATTTACACAATAACCCCCCCCCCCGCAATATGTACATTAACTGAATTAATACAATTAATGTTACATTTAATTTGGCATTTAGTCAGAAGGTAACAAACTGATAAACTGAGGTCTAAAGTAAAAGAGGAAGAATACTTACCTTCCTTAACAGTGTGGATTTCCAAGTACCCTATGTAAAAAATAAAATAAAATAGAAAGCATTGTTACTTTCAGTGAGAACATTAGTGAGGCTTTATTGAAGGTCCTACAACCATAGAATGAGAATGGCTATTCTTTCCAAGAGGCAGTGGAGTTGGACGGCAGTCTTCTCACTCTATGGACGTTGTAAGGTTTGTGAACTTATGTATAATTATGTATTAATTAAGGATCATCTGTCTTCACATTTCCTACCAACATGATGGAATTTAAAACAAAGAAATATAGGAAGCTACTTTAACCCATGTCAGACCACTGATCTATTAAAGCAGTATTGGCAACTGTCATTGGCAGTATTCCCCAGTATTTTAAACACAATTCTTTCCTAGCTCTATCTGGAGATCCCTGGTAATCTCCCATCTAAGTACTAACTAGGGAACTTATTGCTTTACCTTTTAAATTGAAATTAGCATTCTAGGATGCAACTGGGATGCCGCATGGAGGCGGGAATTATTGCATTGTAATTCGCCACTAATCGTCAGGCAACTGCAGCATGGGTTCCAGCTGTGCTCAGCCAGCCACCATTTAAAACTTGGGAGCTTTCTGACTTTGAAAAAATGCCAGCTGAGTGTGCCTAGGACCCAAGCTGCAGTCACCCAGCGATTTGGTGGCAAACTAAAATGCAATAATTAATGCCTCCACACCGTGTCCTGGCTGTATCCCAGGAGGCTAATTTCAATTTAAACGGCAATGCGATAAGCTCCCTAGTCTGACCAGATTCGGAGATATATCCATGTTAGTCTGGAATGTCAGTATGCAAAGGGATTTTGTAGGACCTTTGAATGAAAGAAATGGCAGCATAAGCTTTTGTACTTTTGTAGGACCTTTGAGTGAAAGAGGTTGTAGCATAAGCTTTCGTAAACTTGGTCTACTTCCTCAGATATTTCCTCTGACCAGCTTCAGAGTTTATTGCATAAAAAAACTCGGATGTACCTCTTCCATTTTACAGCCGATTATGGGATACAGCCAGGAATTGTCGCATGGAAAATGCCACTGCCCAGTTGCATCCCACCTAAAATCCAGCCCTCAGCCATGCTCAGTGGGTCAATCTGCAAAGTCGGCTTTGCAAATCAGTCAGCAGAGTGCAGTTGGAGCTGGGTTTTAGGTGGGATGCAGCTGGGCAGTGGCATCAGCAGCATTTTCCATGTGATACTTCCCAGCTACATCTCATAATCGACTGTAAAATGGAAGGACAAGTCAGGGTTGTTTTCTTTAATGAGATAAACTGCTTAGTTTCAGAAATCAAATGAGATCAGGTATGCAGAGAGTGGTATGATGGCAATGCATTTGTTCCCTGCTTGTTGTGTAAGAGACATTAATTTGTGGTAGGTAAATAGGGTCTGCTCTAGAAAGAACCTCATTCAAAGACACCAAACAACAGAAGTGACCTAAATGACTGTTGAGACCTAGTGATATTGTGATACAATTCTATAAATTGTGCACTCTACAACTCCTACATTTTAAAATCCTGTTTGGGACCAGCATATCTTTGATAAGAGATGGCCTATGTCCAAGCGTGCAGAAAAGAGGTGCTACTGTCTCAAAGCCCACTGTTCTTCCTGTGATTAACACCACTCTTTCAGGACTGCAGATTGAGACTACATGTGTGATGACAACTGTGATAGAAAATGGTGTTTACATTGCTCCATGTCTTTTGGAAGTTTAGCAAATTCTTCCCAGGTGGGCTTTCAGAGAGAGGAAAATCTCCTTTCTTTGCAAAAGACTGTCAGGGGCTGAGCCTAACATTTACTTTTTCTCCTGCTGCTGAATACTGGATTTTAATTTAATTGTTCCTTTTATGTTTTTAATATTGCTTTTAATATTATCAGCCACCTTGGGCTTGAAAGAGGCAATATATTCATTGCAAAGTATTTAAGAACTGGAGGAATTTATCTTCCAACATTTCACAGATGAAAACTGGGATGCATATGTCCAAGCAACATCAGAGTGTGGTCAAGATAGCAAAAGTTATTAATGAAGAGGAACTCACAAACTAAGAGAGGCTGGAACAGGCTAATTTTCTTTGAGTCTGTTGGGAAGACCAAGATTTTGACACCTCCTCTCCCTTCTGCTGAGTTAACTACATTTGCACTTTTCACAGCAACTAAGGAGCATTGCAGACTGGCGTAAAGGGCCAGCCTGGGGGTGGAGTTGGGTGGAGCAGCCACAGGTCAGCCACTCCAACCCCAGCCTGACGCTGTCCTGATGCTGCGCGCCCGTACGTAGACACGCTGTGCCAAAAGAGCACAGAAGAGCCGTGGTGCCGACTCATAGGGCGGCCTTTTGCCATCCCTAAAAGGAGCGGCATTTTGCTGCTCTTTTGGGGGTGGCAAAAGGGAGGATCGGGGCCATGGCATGTGATTGCTGTGGCCCCAATCCGCTGCTAGCAGGGACTGCCCAGAGCCGCCCATCTGCATAGCCCTTAAGCTAAGCTGAAGACAAAGGGGGGAAGTGGAAAGATGAAAAAGAAATGGGAAATATTAAAAACAACTGAAAAAGTGGGACAATAGAGGATTAATTGGGACTGTGCCTGCCAAACTGGGATAGTTTAAGGCTATCAAAGAATCAGCTTGTTAAACAGAAGTAACCTAGGTCATTGTCTGTTTTGCATTGGAGATAATTCTTAGGTTTCAGACAAGAGCCTTTCTCTTCTCTTTCTGGAGATGCCTGAACCTGAGATATTTTGCATGAAAAACATATGCTCTATCACTGATCCATGGCCCTACTTCATTTAAGAAGGATGCTTCCATTCTAGCCATTTTCTCAAACTGATATAATTTGCTCATTCATTTGTCACAGTGAATCCAGCTATTGTTTCCAAGAGGTTGCATTCCATTGTTTCCATTCTTACTTTTCCATACTTGCGAAGCTGTGTGTGAGAGAGGGGAAGTTGTCTTGTTACATGTTATAGTAATATGAATATTAGACTTCGTTGCATAAGATAAGAAAGCTGTCTGTTGCCAAAATCTGTACAAATTATTAAAAATTCCTCATGGACAATCTAATGCCAATAGTGGCCAGGACCCTTTCTCCATCTTGGAAAGCCAAGGCAAACTGGAAATTTCCACCACCCCTCCTGCTGACAAGGAAATGTTTGAACTGAATGAGAGCTTACCTGTCTTGTTTACTTCCATGGAATGGAGACCTGCCCAACTGGCTGAGACTGGTATGCCCCCATTGTGTGGTATCCTGCAGCCTTCAGAGAGGTTGGACAACTCATCTGGATTTCAGAGGCTAAATATCTATTCCTAAATTATGCTAAATGCATCTGAGGAATATTGCTAATGCATCTGAGGAAGTAGACTGATGTCTATGAAAGCTCACTCTGCCAATTTCTTTCTTTCATTTAGTCTCAAAAGTGCTACAAGATCTCTCTACATATCTATTCCTGTGTGGCTTTTTGTCTGCTGTACGCAACCACATTGTTTGACCCTCATCAGACCACTTAAAAGCCATTATCAGAACCCAAAGGGCACTTCATCTGCCCTTTTGTATGCACATGTTTAAGTCATGTTTTGCACCATCCAGGTGTATT